TTACTAAATGAGGACACTCTATTTGCATGGTTTTGTGTATATATTATTATTAATATTTTAAAATCTCTTTTCCCTAAAATGCATGCCCTTGACACAGAAACTTCTATTATTGAGATTTATTCCAACAGGAAAAAATGTATAAGCGTGCAAAAAATTTCAGTGAAAGGGACGTTTCTACATTTTAAGTATAAAAATGAAAAACAGGGAATCATCTCAACATTAAAATTAGTTAAATGAATTTTGATATAAATATACAATCACTAGTATCTGTGTTGAGAAATATTTAATGGTAAAGAGAGATAATCACTGCTTATTTTAAAAACCAAAAACATATGCTACTATCATTTTGTGTGTGTGTGTGTGTGATACCACGGATCAAACCCAGGACCTTGCGCCTGCAAGGCAGGCATGGTGCCCCTGAGCTAAATCCCCAGCCCAATTCATTTTTTTATATGAACATAACCTCAACAAAACATGATTCAAAGTCTATATATCAAAAATTCAAGACATTTTTCTATATATAGTGAAATTGAGTTATTTTGGTTTTGTTTTCCTGTAATTTTCAAAGTGGGTATTCTAAATAAAGGTCTTTTTTGTTTTTAGTTTGTGAAAGATAGGAGGTTGCATTGCCAAGAAGAATGAAAAAGGACCAGCGTCTCATGCAGAAAATAAATCTAAAAACCAAACTTAGTAAAATGGACTTTTCTATTTATTGTTTTCTCAGATTTTTTTTTAGAACTTCAAATCCAGAAAGTACTTCTAATTATAACATTAGAAAGCTTGAGAACAACTTGTTCTAAAATCTTTTATTTATTACCAGCAAAGCATAGTCTTATTTGCCTAGCAAACTTCGTTTTCCACTTGTGTTAGAAGGGAAGGTGGATCAGCATCTAACCGTCTCTTAACTACTTTTCACAAGCAATGCTTTCTTTTCCTCAGCTACTGAAAACAGGCACACCGACGTTACTCCAAAAAACATCAGCACAAGTTCAGTGGCACACTTCCAGTAGTAGCTGGATAAAATCCACTCCCCTAAGTCTTTCATCATTTATCCCAGGGAACAGCAGCTCTTACTGGAGCACAGCAGAGGTGAGGCTATCAAATTTCAAGCTGCTATGTCTTCTCAGAGGTTCTCCGTTGTGTCTTTAATCAAGTGGCCCAACTTGAAGCAGCCCCCATCACACACACACACACACACACACACACACACACACACTCTCTCTCTCTCTCTCTCTCTCTCTCTCTCTCTCACAACTTCATGTCAAAAGTTCAGAGCAATGTCACAAAACAATGTCTTTGATTAAACAAAGACAGAAAGGCCCTTCTGACAGGAAAGCTAGCAAGTAATTTATTTCTGGGTCACAAATTTTTATTTTATTTTATGTTATTTTATTTTATATTATTTTTCTGGTACTGGGGATTGAACTCAGGACCTCGCACTTGCCAGGTTGGCGTCGTGCCACTGAGCTACATCTCTGCCCCTAATTTATTTCTGGGTCATAAATTTTAATGATGGCTCTGAATTGAGTGCCAATTTTCAATTCATTTACAGTATTTATTTTCCTCAGGAATTCATTAGATAAAAATAAAACACAAAAGCTCTATTTCATGTTTTGAGATTAGGGCTGCTATGTTGCCCAGGGTGGCCTCCAACTTCTAGGCTGAAGGGATACCCCTGCCTAAGCCTCAGGAGTAGCTGGGAATACATATGCCTGCTGATGCACTTGGCTTAAAGGCTATACTATTTATGGCCAGGGATTTAGCTCAGTGGTGTGGGTGCCTACTTGGCAAACACAAGGTCCTGAGTTTGATCCCTGGTACAAAAAAAAAATGCTATACTATATATGTTTAAAATGTAATTTTCTTCATAAATGAATTATAAACTATGGTACATAAATACAATGCAAGATTTTTCAGTGACAATAAGGAATGAACTATCAAGCTTTCAGAAGACATGAAGCAACAAGGTAAAATTAGAGACAGAAAGATATGTGGCTGTCAGTGAAGGAGAAAGCAGTGAACAGGGGAACACAGGATTTTTAGTGTAGTGAAACTACGACAGATACGTATCATACATTTGTCAAAACACACAGGCTAGGGCTGGAGATTTAGCTCAGTGTCACCATGCCTGCCTGGCAAGTGCAAGGTCCTGAGTTTGATCCCCAGTACCAAAAAAAAAAAAAAAAAAAAAATAAAATTAGACAGAAAGATATGTGGCTGTCAGTGAAGGAGAAGGCAGTGAACAGGGGAACACAGGATTTTTAGTGTAGTGAAACTACGACAGATACGTATCATACATTTGTCAAAACACACAGGCTAGGGCTGGAGATTTTTATCACAACTCAAAACACCTATTAATTTCAAAACTAAGAGACGGCTAACAAATAAAATTAACATTTAGATATAAAGAAGGGGAAAAAGTAACTTACTTCTGGTTCACAATTAGCCACTCCCGGATATAGGTGTGAACACAGTCTCTGACATGAGGGTCCAGTTCCACCCTAATTAGGTGGAAAATAAGATAAAAAACATGGTATTACTGGGCAAAATCAACAAAACAATTATTTACCGCGACCAATGAGCACAGCAGAATTTCAAACCTATGTCAACGAGAACGCTAAGGATGTTTCTACCTATTCAAGTATCTAAAGTATTCCTAAGGCAGAGAGTTTTCTTTCGATGAGATAAGCATGTTGTCATTTTCTGCTTTGTGGGTTTTCTTTATCACAGAGAATCATTAAACTACACCTATCCCTGAAGCCTTTACTTATCACACAAGACAAGTAGAACAGCTGTAACATATACAAAATAAGAAAAATAGGTATACATACATATTTCTGACTGGGATAATTTTTCAGTCATGTATATTTTTGTTAGTACCTGCATGATGTCCTTTCAGAAAGCCAAGAGAAAAATAGCTAACTTAGGCTTTGATGGTTTTGCAGACACTGGCTTTGGTTGGTGATCATTAAGTCAGATGGTTTCTGTCATATTTGCCAAGAAGGAATTAGTCTTAAAATCAGAAATGACAGTAGTCACAAAACTTTTTGTTGTCACAAAGGCATCAATACCATAGATAAAAAGACTTAATGTTACGTCCTAGTTTTCTCATTTGTAAAAAGTTGACACCATAGTCAGTATTTTGAATGTCCTCCAAGGACCATGTGATCAAGTCTTCATTCTCAGCTTCGTGCTATTGGCAAGTGGTGAAACCCTGAAGATGTAGGGCCTTAGGTCCTTGGGCGGTGCCTTCAAAGGGGATTATGGGACTTTCACTTCTTCTTCTCTTTCTTTTCTGTCTTTTACACTTGACCATGAGGTGAACGCACCTCCTCCAACCACTACCAGATATTGCTATGATGTTTTGTGCCACCACAGGTCCAAAGCACAAAGCAGTAGGGCCAATTTGCCATGGATTGAATCCTCCACACCATAAGTCAGACAAAACACCTTCCTCTAAGTTTACTTATCGAAGGTTATTTATTTCAGCAAGGGAAAGCTGACTAACACAGGGAATAGGAACAGAACTCGCTTGTGGACTTGTCAATATAAGATGAAACACTGTAAAGGTTTAGACATGTGATCTCTGAGCTCTGACTTCCCAGATCCCAGCTTCATCCCTTATTAGCTCTGTGAACTTGGGCCAGCCATTCAACCATTTTGTGCCTCAGTTTTCTCACCTAAAACTGGTAATATTAATAAAAGTGCTTTCTTTGAGAACTGTGATGAAGGTTAAATACGTTAGTGTAGAAAGTGCTTAGGAGATTGTCTGGCACATAACAGAGCTATATGTGATGGGTTACGCTTTACATAGCCTTTAGTATGCACCAGGCACTGATGTATTAATTCGGGTCATTCCTAATCAGTCCCATAAGGCAGACACTACCGTTTTTCTCATCTTACAAGGATGAGATGATAAGACTCTTGCTCCAAGTCACACAGCAAGTGGTAGGGGAAAAACTCACCTGTAGCATTTCCACTTAAAATTACATTATCACAGCTAAACACAGAGCTGGGCTGGACCCAGGGTACTACCAAGTGTCAACTATTGCTTTCTCTCAGGATCCTGAAGGTGCCTGCCCCTGCTTCGCTTGTACAGAATACTGCAGCAATAACGGAAATAGTAGATGTTGTTTTAAAGTCAGACAGATGCTGTGTCAGCTAAAAGTTCTAGCAAGGAGATAATCTACTAAAAAAAAATAATGCTATGAAAAAATTGTCTTCTCTCTCAAC